CCGTGTACGAGTGCGTGCAGACGGGGCATCTTCGAGAGGAATATATCAAGTGTTTGAATGCCAAGGTGGAGGAGGTGGAGGAGGAGTTTGAGAACATGAAGGCGGAGGGAAGAATCGACGATATGAATAGGGTCTTTATGCACGTCTTGAGTCAGGCGGCTATTGAAGTTTTTACCCAGTCGCCACTGCAGTCAGAGGAGCGCGTCAGCAGCGCGCAGTTACTAGGTGCACTTCTAGAGCAGCGACGACGTCGCAGAGAGCTATTAGGCAAAGCAGTAGATCAAGTCGCATGTGAGGCCCAAACCAAGGCCATCAAGCATATCAGTCGCCTGCTGCGGGACACAGCTCGAAAACATCACGATCGAGTACGTCAACGTCGTACAGATGAATTACGAGTAGCATTATCTCAGCGTAACTACTACCTAGTACACAAGCTGAGCCGCATGATAGCAGGCAAAGGCCGAGGAGCCCGTAAGAGACACTTTCGAGCTCCCCCTCAGTCTCAGGCGTGTGCTGCTGCCTGGGCTACGCGCATGTTTCTTCCAGCAGCTCAGGGTGGTTGCACGGCTACGGCATCTTCGCTAAACGAACTACAATTCGAAATCGACCAGGAGAATCGACAACCCAGGGACGAACTCGAAGCCGTCGGACTCGCCATGGTTGGTTTCGACTCGATGTCTCGGTGCGTGTGGAAGCTTCGTTTCTGGAGAACCTGGCCCGAATGGTCGTGCCCCCCCCGAGCTGCTTAGGTTATTGTTCCATCCTGCATGGATCAATGAACGACGCCCCAAGGGAAGAGCAGGTCTGGGATTGGAGCCAGTGGAAGTCAACAACAAGGGGGGGAACCTATTAAAGCAGTTGCTGTGGGCTTGTCGGCGCTGGAGGCGCACACCTGTTGCGTGGCACGCTGCTCAGGCTGCTCGTTTGCCCAAGAATGCCATGCTTGATTGCGACGGCGAAAGAATCATCATGGTCATGTGCACGCTAGGACGAAACTACAATGCTGGAGCCCTCAGACGGAAGCCCTACCCCTGGAGTCCCCCTGATTGGGTCTACGGAGGCCTCAAACATCGTCGACGAGAAACCGCCATGATCATCCAGGCCATCAGTAGTTATCGCATGCAAAAAGGAGGAGTCTCACACATTCTTCGGTGCCATGATGCGACCAATGCGTTTTTTCTCTCGAGCACAAAGCAGTACTAGCTGGAGCTGAAGAAATCTATCATGACAACGATCTAGAGTTTATTTCGGACCGCATCACCAAGGGTGTTTTCAAGCTAGAGGACGAGTCTGGGTGTTACTGGCTGCGACCTGGCTCAGGAGTTCTACCTGGAGACACAGGAGCCACGCTGTTATTTGGTGCGCACGTTCTCGATGCCTGTCTTGCAGAGCACAGCCGACCAGTTTGTCACGAATGGCTGGCGCATTGCAGTCGAGGCTATACTTCCCTGGGACCACGATGGCGTGGACATGAGGCAAGTCGCTCTCACTGGTTTCGTAGACGATATTGCCAACAAGGTATTGGAGGTGGGGGAAGGGTCAGCAGAAGATCAACTTGCAGCAGGATCACAAGCAGAAAACACAGCAATCAGCGCAGGCATGGGGGAGGTGGGAGCGACTCAGAATATCAGCAAGCAGGAAAACATCTTGTATCTCGCGGGCCAAGGAGCTCACAAACTTTCTCGGCGCCTTCACTCTGGCTTTCTTGCAGGGGTCGAAGGAGTATGCAAGCATCACGTGCGCTTCCTGGGGGGACATTTTTCGCCAACCTTCTCACCAGTACCTGAGTTAGGCAAGCGCCAGAATGCACTACGCGTCAGCTTCTACACTATGGGCAGTTTTTGGTACTCGAAGTCCCCCTGGAGGCTCAAGGTCAACATGGTCAAGGGGCTCCTAGTCAACAGCGCCCTCACGGGAACGGAAGTCTGGGCCACATCCAATGGACCTCTTCTACCACGGGACCTCAGCGGGCTCGAAAGGTTCATCGTGGGCAAGTGTAGGGCCATTCTCGAGGGCACGTGTGAATGGAGTAGTGGGCACGCCAAGACCCTCAGCAGTCACGAAGTCCTCAAAAGGTTCGGAAAGGTCCTCAAAAGGTTCGGATTAGGAGATTGAAGTGGTATCAGGAGCTCTCGAAGGCCAAGGAGTTCCATGGGCAGTTTTGGGCAGCTATGTTAGGCACCGTGGCAGTAGATGGCGAGGTTTTAGTTGATGGTCGAGTCCCTGCGTCTGGGCATCCTTGGGCTCTGCAGATGCAACAGGACATCGATTTCCTTGCGTGCGCAGAGTCAGGCGAGGACCTCCTTCTCGATGCAGACAATCGCATCGACAGGATTCTTTTCGATCCCGACGCGTCCGAGCAGTTTCAGCGCTTGGACATCACCGAGCTACGTGCTGTGTTTCTTTGTCGTACCGCCGCCAGCGCGGCAATGCAGACGGAGACAGGCCAAGAGGAAACAATGTTCTACTGTCGGGAGTTCTTGGAGGACGGGTCCAGGTGTCGAACGAAATGGCCTTCGCACAAGCAGCTTATTGCACATATTGCGTCTACACAGGGTGGCACGCGTGGTCGTCTTCACATCGCTCGGATATGCACCCCCTCGAATGAATGTATTTTGTGTGGAAGCGTATTTCGAGAGCCCGTCGTCGCCAAACAGCACACGAAGAAGAAGTCTCGTTCGGCAATTTTGTCCTTATGGTCGAGGCCGATATGAACAGACGGTGAACGAATACAAAAACACGAAATGCCAAGCTTGTCTCGAAGAGTTCGACACCGTAGCCGATTTTGTCGAGCACCTGTTTCAGCGCCTTTCCAAGTACCTCAGTCCGTCGTTCTACGTGAGACTTGATGGCGGACGCCGCGTCCTCCCTGGTGAGACCACGAGGCAAGAGTTTCTCCTACGTCTCAGGCGGCAAGCCGAAGAAGATCGCCAAGCACGCGAGCCAGGAGGACGACGAGGACATGGACGAGGAGGAGAGCCCGCACAAGAATCAGCCCAGGGACGACCTGCTGATCCAGCTCGAGACCCGTGTGCGGGCGCTCGAGCACGCCGCCTTCAGCGCCGCCATCATTCCCAGGAAGTCGGTGGCAATAGAGGCCATGAACAAATTCGTTCCAGGATTATCTCAAAGCAGTGAAAGAGAACCCAGACAAACAGTTGGCAGGGCCCGCATCCCAAGCCCTTTTCGCTCTTCTGACCGCTATAGAAGTCTTCGAGCACAAGGATACTTCGCCAAGGATGATCAAGGTCTTACACGCCTGCAAAAGGCTGTCGCTCATGATGGAGAAGAGCGGGCCAGAACTGATGTGCAGTTGGGTGAAGGAGCTGGTAGCTCTGCCGACATTCGACCGTCCAGGAGCCGAGCCCAAGAGTCGCCTTACGTTCTCGCTCAAAGGGTCTTTGCTTCTTCCACGCGAAGACGCCACAGCAGCGAGCATGCTCACAGAGCTCCAGAACTACGACCCCGCCAAGAGCACGGTCATGATCAGCCCGCTGGAGACCCCGATGGAGCTGCTCCACGTGCCAGGCCTATGGGTCCCCACCGAGCAGATTGTCTGCGAGGCGCTGAGGAGCATGGGCGGTGAGATCAAGATGAATAGAGCCCCCAGGGGCAATTTGAGTCGCCAGCTCGGAGGCGGCAAAGGCAGGGGCAAGAAATCTGCTAAGTGATTGACGCCTGCCGCGGCCGTGCTCCCGTGCTGGACCCCACAGAGTGGTCATCAGCCTGCTGCCCCTCTCGCTGGTCCTGTGTGTGCCTCTTTTGTTGTGTTTCTTCTCGGAACTTAGGCCTCAGTGCTCAGCCTTCAGTTGCTCTGTGGTTGTGCGCTTGCGCCTCCATGGATGTCATCTGGAGGCAGAGGTATTGGGGTTCAACGTCCGTGGGTCTCTCTTCCAGCGTGCAGCAGGGTAGCAGCATGGTTGCCGAAAGGCGAAATGTCGAAAGGGGGGCAAACAAAGAATTGTCGACCCAGCCCGAGCCAGCGTTTTTTTTCAACCAGTCACGAACGGTCTTGAAGGGCTTGAGAACTGAACTGAACTCGTCCTCCTCCTCCTCCTCCTCATCCTCATCCTCTTCCTCCTCATCTTCCTCTTCCTGCCGCGCATGTTGTAAATCATGCGACCGCCGTCGCTCCGCCGCTCCCGCAAAGCGGTGAGAATAATTAGGTTGACCGTGATTTTATCCGCCCTCGCATTCTGGCGTATCGCGTGAGTGAGTGAATGCGAGAGAGAGTTCCGGAAGGTTTTCAGAGCGTTCCAGAACGTTTCGAGAAGGCAGCTGCGCCCGAGACACCTTCCCAAACCGCCGCATGTCATATATTCTCGATCTAACGGGGACACCTGCGAACGGGGTCAGTCAAAACGCTAGAGATTGCAGGATCATGCAGAGAAGATGTTGACAAAAGGCCTGAGTGACACGGGTGTGGATTTACTCGGGCCGGTATATCAGGGTGCAGTTGCATTCCGCCGATCCGCTTTGAATTCGGCTTCGATGAATTCCGATTCCGATTCGATTCGTTTTGGGTCTCCAATTTGGGTTCCGATGTCTTATATTGCAGGCCTACTAGCCTGCCGATTCCTGCCGACTCGAGTTCTCCTGGCTCGGCTGCCGATTCCCGCCGATCCGATCAATTTCGATCGCCGATCCGATTCACCGCTTCGACTCAGAGCTCCCCAGGCAGATCCCCGCACTCATCTTCACCCGACTTGATCCTCGGCCTGGCGTCGTCTTCGTCTGGCCCCCCCCTCATACGGGGCGCGAAAACGACCACAGGCACTGCTTTTCTTGTGTTGCCGCCTTCCAGCCCGCAGAAACAAAGCAGCGGTTGTGGTCATTTCCGTTGAGCTTGGCGCCGGGGAAATGACCACAACCACTGCTTCTCTTTCGGCCGGCTGGACGGCGGCGCGAACAAGAGGCCGTGGCTGCGGTCATTTTCCCGTCCCGCACCTCAGTCCGGACCTCGCCGCGCCCGCCCGCTGCCGCTCCGGGGCGCCCCGCGCGGCCCTCCCCTGGGGCGCCCCGCGCGGGGCCATGGCGCCGTGCGCCCCCGCCGCCGGCGGCGGGGCGCCGGCGGCCGACCCCGGCGGCCCCGCGGAGCAGGACGCTCGGGCGCTGCTCTCGGCATCGGTCGGGCGTGTACACGTCGGGACGGACGAGAGTCGGAGGGCGCCAACCATACACCAACACCGATTCTGGCCCAGGATCGCCCTGGGCCCAGGATCGGTGTATATGCCTTCTTGCGCAAGGCAGGAGGGCGTATACACCGATCCTGGGCCCATGGGTGATCCTGGCCAGGATTGGTGTTGGTGTATAGTTGGTGCCTTCCTAGAGAGGGGGGGATTGGGAACAGGGGGGGTACGAAATTTGCTGCATGCAGCTGGTTTCGGCCCCGCCGAGGGGCCCACTCCTCGGTACATAGCCGCGAGGCGCCGGGAGAATCAGCTACGCGAGCTGATTCTCACCCCCCCCTTTGCTATCCCCCCCTTTCGCCCGACTCGAGCATTTTTCCTTCGGCGAGGACCATCGAGGAGCATCCTTGATCATGCGGCGAAAAAAACAACAACGCGCGAAACCGAAACATGCACGGCGAATGGACGTCCGAGCGATGGCGAGTGCTTCGTGGGGGGGGGCGGAAATCAGGCGTGTGCGCAGGCCCGTCTTCGAGTACGGGGTCCGGCTTGAGTAAGGAGTACTTGCCCTTCAAAAGGGGCTCGGTTGCTCCTTTGGTCTGCATGCGTTCCGCTGCCATTTTGGGCGGCGAGCCCCCTCTGGTGTTGCTTCGGGCTTCCGAGACTTACCTGGGGAAAAAAGGGGCTTCGTTCCTTATTTATTGTTCCTTAGGTCAGGCCGAATACTGTAGGGGATCGGCTACAGAACTGACTCACCCCTAAAGTCTGAATGGTCGTCGAATCTGGAACCACTGCGCAGAAGTTTCGCAACTCTGCCGCACGTTATATTTCTTGTCTGTGTGGATTCGACGAACAGATCAGTTCTTGGGCAGTACGGTTCCGTAGTCGACCCCCCTGGTCGAAGCCTTGCTGCGTTTCTGCGGTGACGCCCGTTTTAGTTTGCTTGCATTGGCTAAGGTCTCGCGTGCTGGCGCGCCTATGGCAGGCTGGACCTCAGGTGATTCCAGGCTTGCCGCTCGGCGCATGTGGTCGGGCACCAGCGGTGTGTTTGCTGGACCAATGATGGGGGCGGGGCGAGGAAAGGTGCCCTCTTTGTGTGCCCTCAAAGGGGCCTTGATGGGGCCCAAAAGGGGCACGACAGGTGCACGTGTCTTCCCCCCCCCATTTGTCGAGTAGGGGATCGACTGCAGAATTGAAGTACCCCAGAATTGATTTTCTCGCCGAATCCACTTTCGTAGTCTCGGACGGAGAACGCAATTTCGAGCGCACCTTCGGCGTACTGTCAGCGATTGTGTCCGACGTACCTTCAGCGTATCTTTGGCATACCTTCGGCATACCTGTGTAATTTATCTGGGGTCGAGTGTATTTTACAAAGCATCTGGGCACTTGGAGCGCGAATCCAGTGTAATTTATGAGGGGTGGTGGCACTGTGAGCGCGGACGCAGCGTAATTTTCGAGGGATCGAGTCTGTTTTGGGGTGTGTGTGCCAGAATTTGTGCGGCGGCGCCATGCGACCCCTCCCACTGGGGCATTCTGTGGAGTTCCCTTGGGGGCCACGATAATTATGAGGGGTGAGCTGGAATGATAGGCGGAAGCTCATGAGAACCTGGCCGTTTAAGCTTTAGTTGGGGCTCCTTATGGGACGCCGGAACGTGAGAGGGGCGAGCCGAAACATGAGGCGGGAGCCCATGCGAGCGTTAGCATTTGGGCCTTAGTGGGGGCTCCCAATGGGACCACGAACAGTGTGAAGGTTGTGCCGAAATGAGAAGCGGGATCTCATGTGAATTCTTGTACTTGGGCTTTAGTGGGGGCTTCTTATGGGGCCACGAAGCGCGTGAGGGTTGTGCCGAAATGGGAGGCGGGGTTCTCATGTGAATTCTGGCGTCTGGGCCATTGCTTGGGCTCCCCATGTGGCCACGAAGCGTGCGCTGGGTGAGGTGAAATGAGAGGCGGCAGCTCTGGTGAACTTCAGACTTCGTGCCTTAGTTGGAGCTTCCTTTGGGGCCACGAACCGTGAAATGGCGTGCCGGGCTCGGAGTTGAGAGCGCATGTGAATTCCAATATTTGGGCCTTCGTAGGAGCTCCTTGTGGGGCTACGGCCGTGTGAGGCCTGTGACAAAATGAGAGGCGGGAACTCATTTGAACTCTTGGCATTTGGGCTTTACTGGGGGCTGCCTATGGGGCCACGAGACGTGTGAGGGGTGCGCCGGAACGAGAGGTCAGATATCTCAAGCGAAATGTAGCATTTTGGCTTTATTTTGGGCACGCTATGGGGCCACGAAGCGTGTGAGGGGTAAGCCGACCTTACAGGCGTGTGAGGGGGGTGCATGAATGCGAGGCGGGAGTCCACTTGAACTCTAGCATGTGAGCCTTATTTGAAGTTCCCTATGGGGCCACGAAGCGCGTGATGGCGTGCCGAAACGAGAGGTGGGAACTCATGTGAACTGTAGCATTTGGGCCTTACTTGGGGCTCCTTATGAGGCCACGAAGCGTGTGAGGAATGAGCCGGCCTTTGAGGCGTGTGAGGCGTGTGTGTGTGTGTGTGTGTGTGTGTGTGTGTGTGTTTGTGTGTATATATAAATTCAAAGCGGGAGCTCACTTGGATTTGAGCATGTGGGCCTTATTTGGAGCTCCCTATGGGTCACGAAACGTGTAAGGGGTCTGCCGAAACGAGAGGTGGGAACTCACGTGAGTTCTGGCACTGCTTGGACTGAGCCCGAGCCCCCATAGGAGGCCAAGGAAGATGTGAAGGGTATGCCGAAATTGGATGAGGGAGCTCATGTGAATTGTTTTATTTGGGACTTTGTTGGGGCTCCCTATGGGGCCACGAAACGTGTGAGGGGAGAGCCAGAATGAGTTGCGCAAGCTCATATGACTTTGGCCATCGGAGCTTTAGTTGGGGACCCCCATGTGGCCACGCAGCGTGCGGGAGGTGTGCCGAAGCGTGTGAATTTTGGCATTTTGAATTTCTGTGGCGCTCCCTATGGTTTCACGGAGCGCGCGATGGGTGCGCCAGAAAGAGAGGGAATTCTGCCGTGTGGGCCTTAGTCGGAGCTGCCTAATGGAGCCACGAAGCGTGTGAGGGTTGTGCCGAAATGGGGGGCGCGAGCTCGTGAGAACTCTGGCATGTGGGACTCAGTTGGAACTCCCTGCGGGGCCACGAAGCGTGTGAGGGGTGTGCCGTAAAGGCGGGAACTCCATTGAACTTTCTGGCATGTGGCATTCGTTGGAGCTCCCCATGGGGCCACGAAACGTCTGGTATGTGTGCGTTTACCCAAAAACCAGGCGGGAACTCATGTGAACTTTTTAGCATATGGGCTTCAGCCCGAGTGGAGCTCCCTATGGGGCCACGAAGCGCGTGAGGGGTGTGCCGAAACGAGAGGCGAGAAAACTCATCTGAAATTTGACACTTGGGCCTCAGTTGAGGGTCCCCATGGGGCCACGAAGTGTGAGGGGTTATCCGAAACGAGTGGCTGGAGCTCATGTGAACGTTGGCATTTGGGCCTTAGTTCGGGCTCCCTATGGGACCACGAACCGTGTGCCGAGATAGGAGGCGGGGAGGGAGGGAGGGACCTGTGCCTGCGTCCCAAAGAGGGATTTGCGCCTGGGTCGCGGATTCAGCAGAGGGAGGGAGGGAGGGGTAGGGAGGGACGGAGGGAGGAAGAGAAGGAAGGAAGTAAGGAAGGAAGCAAGGAAGGAAGGAAGGAAGGAAGGAAGGAGGGAGACGCGGGGCCCTGCTGATTCAGAACGACGACCCCGCACCGCAGGGCGGGCCGGGGAAGCCCGCGCGAGCAGCACACGACGGCAGCCCGGCCGCATGTCTTTCACAGCCCCTGCGCCCCTGGAGGGGGTCCGGCCCGTGCTCTCGCCCCCGCTCCTCCGCCTCCAGACGCGCCGAGCGCCGCGCGTCCTCCCTCCTCCCTGGCCCCGCCCCGGCTCAATCCGCCCCTCCCCCCCCGCAGAGAGGGGGGTGATGACCAGGGGGGGGCCTCAGTTTGCATGGCGCCTCTTCCTATTTCAATGCGTCCCCGCCCCCCTCCCCCCCCCCTTTGGGCCGCGCGCGTGAAGCACCCTCGAGTTGCGCCCCCCACTCCCTAGCCCCCCTGGCCCAATCCTGGCCCGCAATCTCCCCCTCGTTTAGGGCCAGCCTCCCCTGGGCCCGACCAGGCCCCCAGGGCACCGCCTGGCCTTGCTTTCAGTCGGGCGTGTCCCCTACAGGGGGATTTTCGACGAAAAATAAAAATTACCCCACAAATATTCCCAAAACAGTCTGGGGACTATTTTTTGAGTATTTTTTTCACTATGTCGATGAAATTTGGGGTTATTTATTTTTTCCGTCGAAAATGCCCTCTGTAGGGGACGCCCGACCTAAGCCTTGCTCCCTGCGTTGGTGAGCTCGCCCCGCCGAGGAGCAGGCCGAGGGCGGCATCGATGCGAGCCGCATACGGCAGATGTTCGACCACTTCGACAGGAGCGGCGAGGGGTTCCTGACCCTGGCGCAGTTCAAGGTCGGCTGGCGGAGTGGGCAGGGTCTCGGAGTGCACGATTTCGGGCACGCCCGGGAGCAGTTGCTGGGGCTGGCTCCGATCCAGGTGCCGCTTCCAGCAGAACGGCACCCCGGCGTGAGCTGTGCTCGGCGTGCGCAGAGATCGCCCGCAGGGCCTCGCGTTCTGCTGCCCGATCTGCGTTGGGGCAGCCTCCTGCAGGAGCGCGAAGATGTTGGCGCTTTGCGCTCTGGACTGGCGGCGCGCCCAGGGGGGTAGGGGGGAGGGGGGAAGGCTTCTTGGGAGGAGGCTGGTTCTTAGGAGGCGTCGGCCCTACAGCTGCAGACAAGGCCCGCGCCTTCCAAGAAGCAGCCTCCCTCTGAGAAGACTGCCTTCCCCTCTCCCACCACCCTCCTGTGCGCGCCGCCAGCTGGAGCAGGCCCCGCGGAGAGGCCTGGAAGGCTTCGGCAACCTGCCACGCGTGAGGCTCGTGCCGCCTCGACGCGCTGGCGACGCGGACGCGGGCGCTTCTCGATGCTCAAGCGAGACGGGGGTCCATGCGAACGGGGGTCAGCCAGAGCGCAGGATCTTGCAGGATCCTGCAGAGCCAGGGATGCATTGACCCGTGCGACGTGCGAGGTGCAGGATCCTGCAGGATCTTGCCGGATCCTGCAGAGCCCGACTGGGCCGGATTTGGAGTGGATTTGGTTCAGTAGGTCCCCGAGGAACACCCTCCCGAGGGTCGTTCGGGCCCCAGGACCCACAGAGGACAGACTACGGCTGGAAATTCGCACTTCCGAGAGTACCTCCGAGAGCGAAGTTCCTTCCAAGAACATGATCAGGTCTCGTCAGGCGGGGGTCGCGAATGCGATCGGACTGGGGTACAAGGTCGAGGTCGTTTCGCAGAGGGTACTCTCATGTTCTTTGTGCTTGTTGGGTTTCTTGTGCGTCCTGGGGAGGGTACCCTTGGATGTTATTTGTGTTCTTGCCGGCGGAGGGTCTCATGCTCTTGAAGGATGTTCTTCTATCCTCTTCGCCTCCGCTGGGCCTCTGAGGCCTCAATATCAACGCTACGAGGCCCCAAGGACCCTCCCATAAGGCGCCCGCCCAAGAGCCCCCGAGAAGCCGTAGGATGCCCCTAGCGGCGGCCCAAAGGCGCCTCCCAGAGGAGTCAGGCAGCCGTTCAGGCGGCGCAGGACTGCACCGAATCGCCCCGAAAACGGCCTCCAAGGGTCTCAGACGGCTTTCTCAGGAAACGCTCAAGAAAGCCCCAGAGGGCCACAGGAAGCTCTCTAGGAGACCACCGCGACTTCGCCGTCGCAGGAGGGGTCTGCATCCTGAGAAAGATCAGGTTACAGTTGACCTGGATGAATTCAAATCCCTGCTGTAATCTGAATTTATTGTTTCGCTGGTTCGGCCACGGAGCCAGCGATGCACTGTTCACCTGTGGCGTGGCGTTGCGGCCCAAAAAAAGAGACCACCGACGAGCCAAAAACAGTCCCACGCCACACCCATCGGGACTCGGCGATCTGCACCTTGTTGCCATGTTGCCTTCCGACGGTCTGCTGAGGTCCCCGGGCGCTCGGTATGCCGCTCGCGCACGGGCGTGCCGGGCTGCTGGGCCGGTGTGCAGGTGACCTCCGCCTGCAGACGGCATCGCCCGTGCTGACCAAGACCGTTTTGCTCTCGGACCGGCGAGAAGGGGCCGAAGAGAGCGCTCCAGCGCCACGTGAGCCGCAGATTGACACAATGAATCGTCGATCCCGAAGAAGTATGGGAAAATATTGGAATTGGGGGGGAAGACAAACACCCAGAAAAGATGGGAAAATCTGGGGAATCCTTTTATCTGTGTGTCTTGATTTGTGCGTCCTTGGGCCCCCTGAAGAGCGCTCCAGCGCCGCGTGCGCCGCAGAGGCCGAGGATTGCCGCGCCAAGCAGGGCCCCAAGACCGGGGGAGGCAGTCAACAGGCAGAGGCCCTCGAGACGGCCCCAAGACCGTGGGGGCGGAATTGGCAGCAGGCGGCAGCGAGGGGAGGCACGCCGGGAGGCAGGGTGGATCGAAGGGAGGGGACAGCAAGAGGAGGAGCGGGAGGAGGAAAAAGGTCGGGGGTGGACAGAACCCCCAACAGTGACACGTCGATTAGTGAATTGGCCGTTTTCGGTTCTCGAGAGGGCGCAGTGGCCGTTATTTTCCAGGCTTGCGCCCGCCAGGTTTGGGCCCGAGGGCGTTTTCGCTAAACCACGTTTTACTAAAGGGGTGTCTGTCCATCCCCCAGAAGGGGTGGAGAGGGAACGGAAGGGCTTGTTGGTAGGGGAGTGCAGGAGAAGCGGCGACTGGGATCCATCGCGCTGCACACGCAGGGGCAAGCAGGGAGGGCAATCTTCGCTCATTGTTCGAACGCTGCGTTGTTTATGGCGCGCGTCTGGTTCGCACTCATCTCTCCGATGCCTCACACTGTAGAGTATAGCCACAGCTTGCTAGAACCTAAGCGCGCGAAGCGCGCGCGTGGTTCTAGCAACATGTATTTGTGAAGCGCATGTGCGCAAAATTGGCCGAGAGCGACGAACGACGCCTCCAGCAGGACGGGGGTGGTGCCACGATCGCTCCCACCTTGGCAGGCCGGGGTCCACTTTGACCCGGCAGTCTCGCTCCGATGCCGATTCTGCCCGATCCATTCCGATGCCGAGTTTGCCCAGTTCGATTCGACTCGATTCCGATGCTCCGATGCGGCCCGATGATTGCATGGAGTTTGCACATCCTGTCGTAAGTCACCGATTCGATTTCGACGCCGTGCCGAAGCGGCCCGAGCCGGCGCGCTTTCAGATTCGACCTTGTTTCCCGATTCGACCGTGAAATGCAAAGTTCATGCGGTTTGAGAAATTCATGTTCAGAGGGGACTCGTAGAAGTGCAGAGAGGACTGGAGTAATAATAGTGAGATAGCAATGTCAGGGATCAGTGGTTCCTCAGACTTGCTAATGAAAGGCGGCGCTGCACACCATGGGCATGGACAGGGTCTTCAGCGAGTCTGACATGGATACGATTGTCATGGTCGCCGACTACAACGGCGATCGAAAGATTGATTTTCAGGATGTGTGTTGTTTAGCCACCCTAGAAGGCAGAGTGCCCAGGAAGAACCAAATCGACCCTCCCTCAGCAGACACGATCGCGATCATCTTGTTCCCTGACCGCCATGATCGCCACTACTTCGGAGGGTGTGTTTGGATGCTCCTGGGCTCCTCGGCTCTAACGGTGGCCATCCGACCACGATTCCAGGAGTTCGTGGCGTTCACGACCAGGATGTTGTCCAGCGGGGCGCAGGAGGGGGAGGAGGAGGAGTGCGGCTCCAATGTTGTGTCGGGCAAGCTGCAGGCGCGCCAGCCATGGGCTTCGGACCCTGAGCCAAACTTAGTGGTCAGCCGGAATTCAGTAACCATGTATAGAAGTGTTTGCCAGCATTTCACAAGGTCTCGAGGTGTTTGCGGGGGTGGTGAACAGATGCGCGCGTAGGAGATACATCGACGATGTCGTTCGCCAGCTCTGTGTGTTTGGCAGGCTCGTCTCCCGCATTGGGACGCGACCTATCGAACGACATGTTGGGGCATGGTCGTTCAGAGTCCCTGCTTCCTCGGGACACAGCAACACTAAGATCCCCCCCGAATCCAGTCTGCGTTCATGCATGCACGTTTCTTTGGCCTGAGCTCGTAAGCTTGTAACCACAGCCACGTGCGAGAGTGAGAGCGATCCGCGACCTGCGTGACGTGCACATTCGGTGGTTCATGAACCACAGAAACGACCCAGTGTGACAACATGTGTCATGACTTGTTGGTGCTAGGTAACGCCGTCGGTGCCGCGCGTCCCTCGACTTCCACTAAAGGGCAACAGGTATTGCAGGGACAGTAGGGAGTGGCCTCTTTGTGGATGGTGTGCGACACCGCGAGGATGAGATTGGGGCCAACATTCCTTGTGGTTCTGGCTGCTACGATTGCGACTGTGAGAATATTAGCCCTGCAAGGTATGAAGACGCCTACGGCGAATATCAGCCGCCCGCTGCCTTTTCGGGAATCGCTTCTGTGGCCCAACGTTGGGCCCCAGCTTGGCCAAGCTATAGGACTACTGATTAATCTGCACTGCAGGCAACGAATTCGAAGTCGCAGGCCATGGGATGCTCCTCCTGACAGGCAGTTTGGATGGCTGGAAGGGCGTGAGACTCTTTCATCCCGCCTCCCCTTCGTCCTCCTCACACCTCCAGTTTCACTTCGGTTAAGAGAAGCTGTTAATGAGTATCACAAACCCAGCGTGACTGAAGACAGCCTCACCTACTGCCTTCAGCGAGGAGCATCCGACTGCTAGGCTTCCTGGCCTGTTGCTGCGTACGAAGCCCGCGTACCATTGAATGGTTCGGCATCTCATCATTGTCATAACTATCATAACACCTGCTTGGACATGGTACGGAGACTGCATCAGTCCCCACCTAGAAGGGGTAGATCGGCCAGAGAAGCCAAGTCTCCCCAGTGGGGTTGGGAAGGGTAGTTCGTGTCCAGACTATCCCCCGCGCGCGCTGCATGCACCTGGCTCAGAGGGCCGAGCCTAAAGTGTGCAAGAGCAAGCAGAAGATGTTGGGTATGCGAGGGGGGTGGGACGAGCAGTCGGAGGAACATCCCCAGGGCAGCGTGAGGGGAGGGAGCCTCTAGCTTCTGGCCTCCAACCCCTGGCACCACTCTAGTGTCACCGAGAGGGACACCCCGTCACCGAGAGGGACACCCCGTAGTGAGAAGTTTGGGTGCGCGCAGGAAAGTGGCACGAAAACGTTTGCGCACGACGGCGCAGGAAAGTGAGAGGGAAGTTCCACTTTTTTGAACCCTCCTCCTCCTCCTCCTCCTCCCCCTCCTCCTCCTCCCCCCCCCTCCTCCTCCCCCTCCTCCTCCTCCTCCTCCTCCTCCTCCTCCTCCTCCTCCCCCTCCTCCTCCCTCTTTGCTCTCCTCCCTCCCCCTCCCCCCTGTCCCCTCCCTCCACCTCCAACTCGGCCTCGTCATCCATTGTCCGCTCCGTAGGCTGTTTGGTTCAAGACAACGAAGCGGACGACGATGACGACACGACGACGACACGGCGACGACGATGACGATGTGACACCGACGACGGACAACGCACGACGCACGACGACCACGACGCCGCCGCCGCCGACGAGTGCGACGACAACGAAGACGACGCCTATAACAACGCCGACGACGACGACGATCGAGCCTTTAGTGGGATGCGACTTAAGCTGGATCGAGCCCTAGTCGGACTCTTGTTAAGCTGGACCGAGCCTGGGTAGGACTCTAGTAGAGATCTAGTAAAGCTGGATCCAGCCCTAGCAGGATTGCACCGGGGCCAGATCGAGTTCTTGTAGTATTAATGTGAGCTCGATCGAGCACGACAGGGATTTTATGAGTCGGATCGAGCCCCAGCAGCAGGATTCATTCATGCTGACTCGAGCCCGATTGGGGTCCGAGCGAGATGGCCAGCGCCCCTGTGGCATTCTATCAGAGCGGGTGCCTGGCGCGGGCGCAGGCGACAACTACACCGCCGCCGCCGCCGACGTTGTCGCCGTCGTCCGCGTCTCGTCGCGGGCGTCGCTGTCGTCGTCCTTGTTGGTGTCGGGGGGGGGGGCTTCTGGGCACCTTGAGCCATCGTTTCGGGGGTGGTTCGTGTTCCCTCCTCTACCATTCGGGCCAGAGTCGTGTTTTTCCCCGCGCGCGTCGAAAGCATAGCACACTTAATGGTTGCTCTAAGATGTTCAACACACATGTGCTTACCCAGCCTACCTTAGCTCCTCCTCACCTCCCCCCCTCCTCCTCCCCTCGTTCCCTCCCTCCTCCTCTCCTCTCCCGTTGCCCGTGCGTTTTGCCACGGGGACCGCTGGCGCTTGTATCAGAAAAGTTCACGCGTTGGGCAACCCGGACTTTCGTCGACCACACTGACGTCGCAAATTTCTAACTGCTGCTGCGCACGTGCACTTCCTACTCTGCCTGACCAGCATCATCGCCTTCATCACCAGCAACATCACCATTGCCACCGTCTTCATCATCACCATCAGTTTCACCACCACGACCATCGTCGGTGTCATCATCCACACCGTCGCCATCAACATGATCATGGTCACCGTCATCGTCTCTGTCGTCTTCGTCATAGTCGCCACCACCATCACCTGCATGGGAGAGGGTCTTCGCATGACTACGCCAAGTGAGCCTTGACCAGCAGTCTGCGGGTTGGCGGGCGGGATATATTTGCTCAAGCGTTGGAGCCGACGACTGCGACGTCCCCACGCGAGCCTCCGAGACCTTCACCCGCAACCATATGTTCCCGTACCTCCCCAGCCTCGAACTTATCCCTATCCCTAAGATTGGCACGCCAAACGGCGATGACAATCTTAGGGCTGCGCTTCAAAAAGTAAGGGAATCCCTCAGATTTGCACCGTGATGAGGAGATGCCCAGCATAGGGATAAGGATATGTTCCAGTCTGGTAATTACCCCCCCCTCACTCCCCTCGGCTGATCCGCCCGCTTTTTTTCGTATGTGTGTGCCATTTGTTTTGCACGATGGTTTGTGTACGAAGGATAGAGGGGGGCGGTATCCAGCCAGACGGGTACAGCGCCCCTTTTGGATCCCTCGTGTTTTTGTTTTTGTTTTTGTTTTTGTTGCGGTGCGCATGCCGTTTAATACAACACGTCTTTTGTTTATGCGAACCCTTTGCGCATCTGAACAGCTTGCGGTGCACATGCGCGCGCCGCTGTGCGCGCATGTCAGCACCCTTCAAGCGCCTGTTAGTTTCCACAATTCCAAGGCATAGCTATTCAAGCGCGTTCAACAGCATGTGTTATTGAACGGAGACATTGTCATAATTTTGCGCGCGCGTTGAACTCGCAAGAGCCATCTCGGCCTTTAGCTGTGATTCTGTCAACTGAGACACTGCGGGCCACACACGGGCGCATGTCGAACGCGCGATGCGCCCGTCGCGCACCCGCGTCTTCCGTCATACAATTCAATGTGGGGCGAATGTCCGTATCTCTGCGCGCGCACGTCGAAACCCTTTCAGAACAAGTGGATCTCTTATAGGTTCAATGCAACGGTTTTCAACAAAGACGACCTGTGGCTGTGCAGCAAGCGTATGTCAAGCATTCTGAAGTTCTGCGGGCGCGCCCTACATCATCTTTATCAACACATTCGTTATCATCGTCGCCAGCGTCACCACTGCCATCGCCATCGTCGTCGTCATCACCGCCGCCGTCATCATCGTTATGTATCGTCATCGTCGATTCCGTCGTCCTCGCGATTCATCCCCACCAGCACCATCGCCATTGTAATCGGTGCCACCGTGATTACCATCGGTAGTATCTCCATCACCAGCAGCATAGCCGTTATCGTCATCGTCCCCACCGCCAGCATGAACATCATCGTCATCGGTCGTTGTCGCCGCACAGTTGAGTTTGTCAACAAATTGCGGATGGATGGTTGGGGTGTTTGCGCGAGCATTGGAGGTGATCACGCGTGGATGCGGTCAAAGTTTATTGTACACCAACCATTGCGCCCTATCCATCACGTAACTTGCACCACATTGCTTGCGCCACATATGCTGCCCCCAAAGCTTGCACCGCATAGACAGCTTCCCTCAGCCTGCGCCACATGGCTGGCACCACATGGGTGACACCACATGGTTTGAACCACGCTACTCCACATGTATATCGCACCACGTATAGTACGTAGAGTACACATCCAGACTACAAGAAACCATTGCTTTGGTTCGACGCTGGCAAGCATTTCGGCTTTCTTTCGCTTGAGGTCTGGAGAGCGGGCAGGGCAGCACGCACGGGAGCAGAGACAGCGGAGATGTATGCACGGCGGCGGCAATGACGACGGCGAGCCCCCCGCCAGGATTCCTGCGAGAGGGGGCGGCAGCGACGAGGGTGCCGGCGGCGTCGACGGCGGCGGTGACGATGGCCGCCCCGACGACGACGACGACGACGACGACGACGACCGATCGGCGTCGGCGACACCGATGACGGCGGCGGCGGCGGCGGCGACACCCCCCCCTCGAGAGGCCAGCGCCACGCCGCGGACGCCCTCCAAGGGCTCGCTCTCCGACGGCGAGGGCGGCGCTGCGGAGGGCTGCCGCTGGTCGTCGTCGCCGTCGTCGCCGTTGTCGTCGTCGTCGTGGTCGTCGTCGTGGTCGTCGTCGTGGTCGTCGTCGTCGTCGTCGTCGTCGCGAGTCGGAGGGGGGGGGCGGCGGGGCTGGTCATTGGCGTCATCGCGAACAGTAGGAACACGGAGTCTAGTCGGCCGCCGTCGCCGTCGTCGTAATTTACACGCTGTATCTTCTGTTTCGTTTATTTTGGGGTATTCGACGTGGGTCTGATGCGGACTCCTCGCGGATTCGACGAGGATTCGGCGATGTTTCGACACGGATTTGACGCGGGTCAATTGTTTGACGTGGGGTCCACGGAGCTTCGACGCGGATGGGACAGGGAAGATCCCCCGACGATGCAACGTAACGTATTTGGCGTCGTCCAGAGAGAAGCATTCGCAGGTTTTGTGTTTTTCCTTGGCCCTCGGCGGTGGTCGGATGCCTTCGGCTTGTTCTCAGGAGGTATTTTATGTTTTTACAAGTCGTCCATTCTCGCAGTCGTCTGTCAGCCGTTGTCGTGTTCCGTCATCTTCCGTCGTCCTCCGTCGTCGTTGTCCGCCGTCGATTTTGCTGGTCGTCATCGTCGTCCGTTGTCGTCTCCATTCGTTGTCATCGTTGTTGCTCTCGTACACCGTCGTCATCATCGTCGTCGTCGGTCGCCCTTGTCTGCCGTCGTCGTCGTCGTCGTCGTCGCTGCTGTTGCCGTTGTCGTCATCATCCGCCCTATGTCGTCCGTCGTTGTTCGTTCGTCGTCGTCGGTCTTCGTCGCAAGCTGCGTATCGTCGTCGTTGGCGCAACTTGACATCGAGACTGGCGCCCGCTCCCACCCATCGAACGGTTTGCTCCTGCACCCGCACGGCCCCGCTGCCGACGACGTGGCGAGTGAAACCACTGGGCACTCGCAGGCGGAGGCAAAGCTCCCAGATGATGGGCATGTTTTCCATCACCACCACCATAAGTTGGAGGGGAAGGGGTTCCTCCTCATCCACCTCCTCCACCTCCTCCTCCTCGTCCTCCTCCTCTTCCTCCTCGTCCTCCTCCTCCTCGTCCTGCTCTTCCTTCCCCCCTCCAACTTATGGTTTTGGTGGTGGAAAGCAGGCCCATCACCCAGAGGGTCCTTGCGTGTGCTGAGGCAACAGCACCACTCGGCCCTTTCGCGCGCAGGTCAGCTTCCGACAGGGCTGACGAGTGTAACACATGCGCCGCGCCCGAGCGATGGCGCAACTGTCAAGCGAAGCCTGCAAAGGCAAGGGCGACAATGTTCGCTCTCTCGGGCGCGGCTCCCGAGTGTGCAAAGCGACGCATATACGCCGCGCCTTAGCGGGAGTGACATGTTCGGCCAGAATCTGCGCGGATGTGGGTGAGGGCGACATTTCGCCGGCTTGTTTGCGGCCCTGGAACAGATTATTAGCTGCCTCGTGGCAAGGTTCTGTTCGCGCCGAATTGGCGACGGGCAAGAATGTACGCCGCGCCCAAATGGGGAACGCACTCGTTAGAAAATCACAGATTCAAGGGGCTGCGGAGCGAGCGACATTTCGACATTTCACTTCCGATTCTGTCCCATGTCTCCCTCAGGTAGGGCGGCTGCCGGCTGCGTGGCAGAGTCGGAGTGTGCACGATTCGGGAATAAGGGTAAACGGGGCGAGAAGTTTCTGAGACGCGGGTGGTTCGATAAGACGGGGGGAAGAGGGAGGCATCCTACCGAGCTAAACGTTTTTGTCTGAGGACTACAGTTTTGTTGAGGCACTCGGCTGGCTGTTCGGCGCCCAGGTGGCCTCGCATACCCTGTGCGCAGTGCCGTCTGACCACACAGTTCTTGTGATAGCACTGGGTCGACTCGGACGGTTTCGAGCATGGCATGGGCCACCAGACGGGGGGGCAGAGCTTAGTGGGCCATGGAATCGACAGGGCCGTTTTTGTTACCGGTTCCGTTTTGCCGTTCTTGTTGCCGGTTCCAACGCCGTTTTTTACCGGTTCCGTCGCCGTTATTTGACCGGTTCCGGCTCCAGTTCCAATCCTGGAGTCGTTTTTTTGCCGTTTCCGGTCGCCGTTTTTTTCCCGTTTCCATTTTCAAGGGACTTGTTTTTGGAAACGGTGAAAAAACGGCCCTGCCGTTTCCGGGGCCCACAAAGGGGCAGAGGTGGTTTTCCCCGTTCAGCCAGCACCATCTACGCCCGGCGTGCATCGGCAGGCATACCCTGCGGAATCAGGTTACGTGGTGTGTGCATGCCCCCCGAGTTCCATGCGTGCCTTCCTGCCCGAAAAAAAAAACATCTGTGCACCACCACCATGCCTTGCCAGCGCCATCTTGGGCTCTGGCATGTTGGTCAGAGCCTCCTGACCTCAGCGGGGTGGGGGGGGGCGTACACCTCACGACAGGGCCCAGGGTGGCCCTGGCCAGGCATGGGGGTGGTGGTGTACAGATGCTTTCTGCTCCTCCTGGGTCGTGCACCCCGCCGGCCCATCGGATGAGTCTTGTGGCCTCTCAGGCGTCTCCAAATACGCGCCCAGGCAGTTAGGTCAAGCTTAGCCGTGTTAATTTCACACTTTATTTTGTGCCTTCGCGTGGCGGTCGCCCTGACGTGGCTGGCAGCGCGGGTGCCTCAAAGCGGGGCAGCCGTTTCCATTCTCCGAGTGGTCCCTCCCTCCCTCCTGACCTCCCCGCCGCTTGTACCGTATGCACTGTCCTTGCGCATCGATGGTTGCTGCCGCCATCCTGCTGCTGCAGTTCAGAGTTCAGCCGGGCTCATTTTCCGTGCCCGCGCTGGCCACCTCCCTCTCCCTCTTGTTGTGCAGATCTCGCAAGATCTCGGCTCCCTTTCTGACTGCTGGCTGAACACCAGCTGAGGCAAGAAAAAGGGGAGGGATTGGTGCTCGGGGATTTGGGGGTGCGGATCGGTTTCTCACAAGACCTTGGCGCCCCTTCTGTCCGCTGGTTGAATACGAGTTGCTGCCAGATCGTTGAGTGCCAGCTTGTTCTGACAGGTCGAGAGACTCACCAGAGTCGCGATCCAAAAAAACCCTCGTCTTCCCACTCATCCCGCTCCCACGACCTCCCGCTGGTCCGCCTGCCCCTCGTGCGCCTCCTCTCTCCTCGTGCTCCCCCCTGCTCCCGTTGCCGCCACTCTTCCGGCCAGTGGGTCGCGTGGAACAAGTTGCCCTGACCAGGGGCTGGCTGGAGGGGTTTGCCGGGAGGCGTGGCAGGGGTTGGTCAGAATTGGCCGGGGGCTGGGTTCAGTGTTCGTTTTGGTAGTTTGTCCCATGAGATGTAATTCAGGAGGGAAACAACACAGACACAATTCATCGTCGATTCCCAGGAAAATGTGGGAAATATGGGAAGCGGGGGGGGAAGACCGAAACCCAGAAAATGTGGGAAACTATGGGGGATATTTTTATTTCAGTGTATTTATTTGTGTGTCCCAGGGCCCCTTCAGTAATTCTCATTCGCCGCCTCGCATGTCTTTGTCCTTCCGCTCCTGCTGCTCTTCGTGCGCCCCCCTCACCGTTGCTCTCCGCCCTCGTCCTCCGCCTCTTCCCCTCCTCCTCGCACCCTCCGTCCTTCCCCTTCGTGCCCCCGTCCCTCTTGCTCTGCTCTCTCCTCCCCCCTCCGCGCCCCCCCCCGCTCATCCGCCCTCTTCCTTCCTGCGGATATGCTCTCTCGTCCCTCCTGGCCGTCGTTCTCCCCCTTTTCCTGCTTCTCCATCTGTGCCATTCTGCCCCCCCCCCCCCCCTCTCGTCCCCATCCTCGTCGTCACGCTCCCTCCATCCGTACTCCTCGTCCTTCCTCGGTTGCTCCCCTGTCCCCCTCCTTCTCCTGACTCTCCAGGTCCCCCTCTGATCCTCCGCCGCTTCATCACCATCTTCCTGCTCTTTCTCTGGCCCTTCCTCACCCGTGCCGTCCTCCCTCTTTCCTCTCCTACTTCCACTGAATGCTCCTCGCCATTATTCTGGTTTTCCTCATCCTCCCCCCTACTCATGCTTGCCTTTTGTTATTGTCTCATGCTTCCCCGTTCTTGCTTGTTACTCTCATCTGCACGATCAGGAGAGGGGCTTGTCCGTGGAGGCGAACCTGCGAAGGCAGCTCATCGAGGCGTGTCGTTACCACACCGTGACTCAGAGGGCACGTTGGCAATCAAATGACAACAGTTTTCCAAGGGGTCGGCTGTCTAGGTGTGGACGTGCAACTGGTCTCATCGTGCGACATTCGTGCGTTATTTGGTTGTTGTCAAGTTTCGCGTAAACCCAATCGCTTCAGTGCAGTCCGTCACTCAAGTTGCTCTCATGAACATCCGCGTATAATATACATATAACGGCGCACCGGGTCCGGGGGCCCGGGGCCGGGACCCCGACCACAAATGTGGGCCCCGGGGGGCCCGGAGGCTCGTCGGGGCTTGCCGGAGGCCTCCCCAGTCAGACAAGACGGCCCAAGAAGCGCCCAAGACGGCCCAAGAAACTTCCAAGAGGCCTCCAAGAGGGCTCCAAGATGCTGAAGATGGCCTCCAGACGTCCAAGGACGCCCCCAAGACGCCCCAAGAAGCCTCCAACATGCGTCCCAAGAGGGCCCCTAGACGCAAACATTGGCCCATTCCCTTCGTAAAACGTACATTTTTCACAAAGTTGCTTTTTGGGCTTTCCGACGTTACAGGACGGCCCACGAGGCGCCCAAGACCGCCCCAAGACGGCCCAAGAAGCTTCCAAGAGGGCCCAAGGACAGCCCAAGAGGGCCCCAAGACGGCCCAAGAGGCGCCCAAGATGGCCCAAGAGGGCCCCAAGACGGGCCCAAGAGGGGGCCCAGAGGGGGACCACGAACCGCAAGCTCGAGCCTTCCGCCCCAAGAGGCCGCCAGGAGGCCCCAAGGAGGCCCCTCAAGAGGCCCCAGGAGACCCCCAAGAGGCCCAAAGGAGGCCCCGAGAAGCCCCAAATCGGCCCCCAAGATGCTTCGAACCTGCTTCCAGGAGGCCCCCGACAGGTTCAGAGGCTCCCGAGAAGCTACGTCAAACTCCCAGCGAGAATGATCCTAGCTAGAACTTAAGCGCGCGCGAAGCGCGCGCGTGGTTCTAGTTGTCATATTTGCGTGGAGCATCCGGCAATACAGCCGCAATACCAGAGGGTTCATGATAGCATGTCTGGGAGGCATGTGTGGACGCACAGTTGGCAATTTCACCTTGCGAAGAGTGTGTGTGTGTGTGTGTGTGTGTCATCGTGGTTGCTGTGCAACATATTCCCTGCCGGGATTTCGGGTGCCAGTATCGGGAAATACGACCGTGCTCGCGCGCACGTGCGTGGTTTCCAATCGTAATACTTGCTTGTTGTGACTGCCAACGTATTGGAGAACTCCACGCGCATCTTGTGGTTGGCCTCGTGCTGCGAGCTTCTCATGAAAAGGCAGGCGGAATGGAATCCGAGGCGTGGCCGGCTCCGTGTCTGCTGATCCGCAGTGACATGACCGGACATGGCTGGTCGCGGGCAGCAGGGATTGGTCTTTGCAGAGGAGGAGGAGGAGGAGGAGGAGGAGGAGGAGGAGGAGGAGGAGGACAAGGAGGAGCAGGAGGACAAGGAGGAGGAGGACAAGGAGGAGGAGGAGGAGGAGCAGGAGGAGGAGCAGGAGCAGGGAGGGGAGGAGGACGTGCCGGCGCAGGCGGAGGAGACCGGCACGAGGGGCACCGAGCTCTCGCGAGGGGCCCGAGAGCCCCGGGCCCCGGCGGCCTTCTCCCCGGGGGCCCGCTCTCCGCGCCCCGAGCAGCCGCTGCCCCTCACGGGCCCGGGGTCCCGAGGAGAGCCCAGGGGGGGGCCCGGGAGCGGCGAGCAAACGTCTCGGGACCTTTTTGTGGGCCACGGAAACGGCAGGGCCGTTTTTTCACCGCTTCCCAAAAAGTGTCCCTTGAAAATGGCAGCGGCAAAAAAACGGCGACCGGGAACGGCAACAAGAACGGCTCCAGGATTGGAGCCGGAGCCGGAACCGGTCAAAAAAACGGCGACGGAACCAATCGGTAAAACAACGGCGTCGGAACCGGCAAAAAAACGGCAAAACGGAACCGGTGAAAAAACGGCCTTGTCGTTTCCAGGGCCCACTAAGCTCGGGACCTTTCGGAGGTGGATAAACCTCCTACCCTGACACGTCGATTAAGGAGTTGGTTCGCGAGAGGGCGTCGCGGCCGTCAGTTTTGCGGGTCCAGGTCCGCCGGTTTCGGTCCCAGGCCGTTTTCACGAAGGGGAGGTTTACTAAAGGGAGGTTTGTCCACCGCCGAACCTTAGTGGGCCCTGGAAACGACAGGCCCGTTTTTTTACCGGTTCCGCTCAGCCGTTTTTGTTGCCGGTTCTGACGCCGTTTTTGTTGCCGGTCCCGCCGCCGTTCTTTTGTTGCGGGTTCCCGCTCCGATTCCACTCCTGGAGCCGTTTTTGTTGCCGTTTCCGGTCGCCGTTTTTGTTGCCGTGCCCATTTTCAAGGGACATTTTTCGGAAACGGTGAAAAAACGGCCCTGCCGTTTCCGGGGCCCGTTAAGCTCGGGACCCGCGTCGTTCCTCAGGGCCGTGTCTTGGCATCGCTCTCGGACGTGTGCATGTATTTGTCGGCGATGACCATAGAGGAGCATCCTCGATCATTTGAACTTGGCGAAAAAGCCACGCACGAAACCGACAAGAAAAACACAGGGAATGGACGTCCGAGCGATGGCCAGGTGTTCCCTTCGTTCGGCGCCGAGCCCAAGGGGGAAGCCAGAGGGGGCGGGACTTCTCCGAGGGCTCGGACGGCCTCCAACGTTCTGAGGAGTTCCTCGAGCCCTCTCCGAAAACGCGGACGACTTCTCAGGAGGTCGGGGGACTTCGAAAAGCCCCGCCGCCTTTTCTGAGAAGGCCTGCCCCCTCCACTTCCCCCGCGGGTGCGCCGCCTAGAGTCAAGTCGCACAGCAGGGATGCGCAATTTTCCAAGGCCACCCTTGCATTCTCGCCCCTTCGGCCCACTATTGGCGACTTTCGCTGTCCAACCCCGCTCGAAAACGCCAACATGGCCCTCCAAGGCCCTCGCAGCCTTGCCGCGCGTCCTTATTATTCGGCGGCGAGCCTGGGGGGGAAGTGAGACGGAGCGGGCCTTTTCCGAAGGCTCGGAAGCCCCCCGGCCTCGAGAGAATTCGCTTAGGCCTTCCCCGACGACGCAGAAGACTTCTCAGAAGGCGCGAGGGCTTCTGAGAAGTCCCGCTGCCTTCTGAGAGTGCCTTCTCCTTCTCCGCTGCCCCCTCGCTCGCCGCCGCAACCTGGCCGCGCATCCTCCTTATGCACGCGACCTGGTTGTGCTCCCGGGGAGGGAGGGCCGCTCGCCCGTCCTCGCTAGGGAGGGAGAGGGGGAGGGGCAGGGGGAGGGGAGGGGGGGGGAGGGGGAGGGGGGGAGGGAAGGGGGAGGGGGGGGAGGGGGAGGGAAGAGGGGGAGGGAGAGGGGGAGGGGGAGGGGAAGGGGGAGGAGGGGGAGGGGGAGGGGGAGACGAAGGGGAGGAAGAGGGCGAGGGGGAGGGAGGGCCCCTGGGGCGCCCCCCGCCTCCCGACGCCCCCAGCCCCCCCGCGGGCCAGGCGCGCGAGCGGGCCGAGAGGGCGGAGGAGCCCCGTGGCCGCAGCTCCGGCCGCCCCCCCTGCCGCCGCCCCCTCCCGTGCCCCACGCGCCTCCTCCCCCCACAGCGCCTCCTCCCTGTCCACATTCGCCCTCCCGAGCTCCCCTCCCCTCCCCTCCCTCGCTTCCCTCGGGCTCGCCTGCCCCTCCCCCACGCGATTCCTCCCCCCGCGCGCCTCCTCCTCCAGCCAGGTTTCGCCCTCGTTAGCAGCCGACAACAACAGGCGGCGAGTTGGGGTTTCCCCAGGTAGCGGGCGTGATGATCCCCAGTTGGCTCGAGGACTGTCCAAAGTCGGCCCGCTCGCTGTCCTGGCAGCTTTGGTCAGTGATCCCCTCCCCTCCCCTCCCTCGCTTCCCTCTGGCTCGCCTGCCCCTCCCCCGCGTGCCTCCTCCCCCACGCTGTTCCCCCCCCCCCCCCCCCCCCCCCCCCCCCCCACCCCCCTGCCTCCCTCCCTGCCTTCTGGACTGCCTCCTCCGCTGTCCCTCCCCCCCTTCCCCATGGGGAGAGGGGGGTCGGAGCGGGCGGAGGCGGAGGGGGATCAGGGGGGGAGGATGGGGGCTGGAAGGGGGAGGGAGGGTGATGGAAGGGGGAGGGGGGGGAGGGAGGGGGGGACAAGCTAGGTGCGCTCGCGTCATATATGACGTCTGACCCTTCCTTCCCATCCCTTACCATGGCGTAGATCCTCTCTATTCGCACAACCTGATGCCGTTGGATGGCGTAGCGTTACATGGCATAGCATTACATGGCATGGGATGGTGTCGAAGATCCACGCGTAGCATGACATAGCATGGCATGGCGACGCCCCAAGGTGTGAGGGGGGCTTTTGCGGCCAAGCAATCAACGAATCGACACCGAATGCGGAATCCCTTCCGATGGTTTCTTCGGGAGGCTTTTTTTCTAGATGTTGGAGCCTATGTGGAAGGACCGAAAACCATGCCGTGGCATGGCGCTGGAAATAATGACGCCAGCGCTGCAATGGGAGCACGGTTCGGAACGAACGGAACCGCGGAAATGAGGCCAGCTTTGCAGCAGGAGCAAGATTCGGAACGGGCAGTAGCCCGAAAATGAGGTCAGCGCTTCATGGAAGGCAACATTTCGAAAAAAAACAAGCGCGGTAGCGCGGGCATGAGGACGCGTAGCTTGACATAGCATGGCATGGCGACATCCCAAGGTGGGGGGGGGGGCTTTTGCGGCCCAAGAAATCAACGAATCGGCACCGAATGTGGCATCATTCCCGATGATTGATTCGGTGGTACAGGTTTTCGATTTGGGTGCCACTTTGCAAGGGCGAAAACCAAGCCGTGGCATGGCGCTGGACATATTGACGCCAACTCTGCAGTGGGAGCACGGTTCGGAACGAGCGGAAGCGCGGAAATGAGACCAGCGTTGCAGCAGGAGACAGTTCGGAACGAGCGGTAGCCCGAAAATCAGGCCAGCGCTTCAGCGAGAGCAGCATATACCACAAAAACGGAAGCGCGGAAATGAGGTCGCGTAGCCTGACATGGCATGGCGTGGCGACGCCCCAAAGTGGGGGGGGGCTTCCGCGGTCCAAGACATCAACGAATCGACATCGAATGTGTAATCACTTCCAATGGTTTATTCGGTGGCAATTTTCTTGATTTTGGTGCCTATTTGGAGTGGCCGAAAACCAAGCCGTGGCATGGCACTGGAAATAATGACGCCAACGCTGCGGTGGGACCGCGGTTTGGAACGAACGGTAGCCCGAACACCAGGCCAACGTTTCAGCGCGAACAGCATTTTGTAACACACTCAGCGCGGAAGCGCGGAAATGAGGACGCGCAGCCTGACATAGCATGGCGTGGCGACGCCCCAATGGGGGGGGCCTTCGCGGCCCAAGAGATCAACGAATCGACACCGAATGCGTAATCACTTCCGATGGTTTTTCTAGGGGGGCTTTTACTTGATGTTGGTGCCTATTTGAAAGAACCGAAAACCATGTCGTGGCATGGCACTGGAAATAATGACGCCAGCGCTGCAGCGGGAGCGCGGTTCGGAACGAGCGGAAGCGCGGACATGAGGCCAGCGCTGCAGCGGGAACACGAGTCGGAACGAGCGTTAGCCCGAAAATGAAGCCAGCGCTTCAGCGAGAGCAGCGTCAAAAAAAACACCTAAGCTAAAACGCAACTCCAGGGAATCCTGTGTTTGAAAAGCCAGTGCGCGGAGGGGGGCCGGACATTCCCCGGACGCCGCCAGGAGAGAGAGGAGAGTAGTGGTCATATTCTGTAATTGCGAGGGGGGGGGAAGAGATGGCGGAGGAATACAGAGGAGGAGGAGGAGGAGGAGGAGGAGGAAGAGGAGGGAGGAGAAGGAGGAGGAGGAGCAGGAGGAGAAGGAGGAGGAGAACCAGTGTAGACCCAGGACCCAATACGCATCAACCCTGTTGCAATACCCCCCCCTCCAAGTTCCCTGTTCACAGCTCCATGCAACAATTTGCTTTTCTGCGGGGAGTTCCCCATTGAAAGACAACCGTCTGAGAATCCTCAACCGTGCTCAAACACATTTCCTTGGACTTCAACGCCGCGAATCAACTACCTGTTGCGTCCTGGGAGTCCGCAGCGGTGCCAGAGCACCGTGCCAAGGACGTCAACACCGCAAGTCTACTTGATGTTCGCGTCCGAACAGTCCGACATCGCGCCCGAGCACAGTCCCAGAGAGTTCAACCCGACGAACCCCTGAAATTGCTGCACATGTTCGTGACGATCCTGCGCGGCGCTAGTACGAAAGCCACGTCGTGAAACGGAGCCACCCTCCATCCTTTTCGTACGCAATTCCTGGGAGGTCAAGTTCCGATTTTGCCCTGGTCCGACATCCGGTTTCATCCGCTGAATCCCGCTTAATCTGGCTAAATCCCGCTTAATCCCGCTTGATCCGGCTTAATCCGAGGCCCACTCCAGCGTGACGGCCCCCCAATGGGCCTTAATCTTTTCTAATCCTCAGGAGGGAGAGAAACACACAGACACAATTAATCGTCGACTCCCAGGAAAATATAGGAAACTATGGGAAGTGGGGGGGAAGACAAAACACCCAACAATATAGGAAAATATGGGGAATATTTTTAGTTGTGTGTATTTATTTGTGTGTCCTGGGGCCCCTTCAACTCCTTCCGAAGAAAACCTCCTAGCAGTTGCCTCATCCGTCCTTGAAGCTGCGGAATCTCCTTCAAAAAGACGAGTGCGCGCCGCGCGAGTGCGAGAGCCACGTTTGGAGAACCGCCCGCCGTCCATCTGGGAAACGGCTGCTTGTCTCTTACCAGCCTCGAACGTATCCCTATCCTTAAGATTGACACGCCAAAAGGCGATGACAATCTTAGGGATTCGCCCTCAAAAAATATGGGCATCCCTAAGATTGGCGTCGTGATGAGGAGGTGCCCAGCATAGGGATAGGGATATGTTCCAGGCTGGTAATTCTCAGCGGCACCGTAACGGGTACGCACTAACGGGAATTTTGGAGATTTGCCGAAAGTTGCCACGTAGGGTCCCTTCCTGGCATCGCAGCGTTGCCCACATCGGGGCGGGTTCGGTTCGCAGGGTCACTGGCCAAAGTACCCGTTAGTGGAGTCCCCATTGGAGGGGCGCTGATTTTCAGACGAAGGTGCGTGGCGTGAAGGCTATGAAACTGTCGCAAAATCCGATCGGCGTCACCCCAACATACTTATACTCTATGTGCGTCGCCCCCCCCCCAGGGGCGACACGCGCACCGAGAAATCTTATGGTATATGGGTCGTGGCGGGCGCTTTCTGGCCGCACCGCTCGGGAAACGATATACTACAAGATGGGTATACTGTATACTATATGTGCGGGTCGGACGCGCGCCTCCAAGGAGAACATATCGTACTAGTTTGTCTTTGTGCGTATCATCCTAAGTTTCAGGATCATGAGTGGTGATGCAGTCTCAGGCTGTACGCCCGGCCCGGCCTACCAACACGTCCGGGGTTGCGACCCGGCTGCGTTATGGAATCGCTTCGCTCATTCCGCCAGCCCATGTCGCATCACTGGCTGCGTGGCGGTGTGCTCGTGCCCAGGGGGAAGGGTAGGGCAGGCAGGACGGTCTTCGAGGAGATCTTTGGAGATTTGGCTTGCGCCCTGTCGACGAGAGGTGATAGACTGCCCCAGAGGGCGCCAAGATGGCTCAAGAGAGCTCCAGCAGAGTTTCGAGACGTACCTGGGTTGTGGGTCAAATTCCTCATGGATGCTTCTTGCGGTCTCTTCGGAGGGAGCCTTTGGGGGGCAGTTTGAGGCTTCTGGGGAGCCTCTTGGGGGCTTCTTGGGAGCCTCTTGGCCTCTCTTGGGGGCCTCTGGGGGCTTCCTGGGTGCCGCTTGGGGCCGAGAGCTCGACAGATCTTTTCGGTGTCCCCCTCTGGGCCCCCTCTTGGGGCCATCATGGGGCCGTCTTTGAGGCCTCCGGGGTCGTCTTAGGGCAATTCATTGTTTGGCCAGTTGGGGTTCCTCTTGGAGGCTTCCGTGGCCAGTGTTGGGAGCGCGCTGGGCGCCTCGTGGGCCGTCCAGGGCGGTCGGCAGCTCGAGAGGGCGGTGCCGCACAGAGCCGTCCGAACGAACGGGCAACATCAAGGAATGATTTTTACCAAACAGCGAAGACTGATAGGCTTCTGGTAAGGTCAAAAGAGAGCATCGTGACTCCCCAGGGGGGTCTGGGCGGGATCCGGGCGGGTGCCGCGGAAAACCGGGGACTCCATTTTTAGCCAACACTAACGCATTTCGTGGTCTTCGGTACCGCCAAAATCGTCCGAACAAACGAGCAACATCAATGAATTATTTTTCAGGAGGGAAAGAAACACACAGACACAATTAATTGTCGATCCCCCAGAAAATATGGGAAAATATGGGAAGTGGGGGGGAAGACAAAACCCAGAACATGCAGGAACATATGGGGCATCTTTTTATTTGTGTGTATTTATTTGTGTGTCCTGGGGCCCCTTCAAACATCAATGAATGATTTTTGCGTCTTCAT